CTCACTCTGTGTCACATTTTGGTAATTCTCACAATATTTCAAACTGTTTCATTATGATTATTTTTCTTAGGGTGATCTGTGATGTTACTATTGTCACTGTTTTAGGGTGCTATGAATCATGGCTATGAAATGGCAAACTTAATCATAAATGTTGTAAGTGTTCTGACTGCTCCACTGACTGGCCATTCCCCTGCCTCTCTCTCTCTTCTTGGACCTCTCCATTCCCTGAGACACAACAATATTAAAATTAGACCAATTAATAACCCTACAACAGCCCCTAAGTGTTTAAAGGAAAAGGAGAGTCACATGTCTCTCAATTTTTAATCAAAAGCTAGAAATGACTGAACTTAGTAAGGAAGTTATGTCAAAAGCCAAGATAGGCCAAAAGCTAAGTCTCTGGATTCAGTTAGCCAAGTTGCAAATGCAAAGGAAAAGTTCTTGAAGATAATTAAAAGTGCTACTCCTGCGAACACATAAATGATAAAAAGCAAAACCACCTATTTGCTGATATGGAGAAGTTGTAATGGTCTGGATAGATCAAACCAGCCACAATACTCCCTTAAGCCAAAGCCCGATCCAGAGCAAAGCCCTAACTCTATCCATTCCTGTGAAGGCTGAGAGAGGTGAGGAAGCTGCAGAAGAAGAGTTTGAAGCTAGCTGAGTTTGGTTCATAAGATTTGAAGAAAGAAGCCATCTCCGTAACATAAAAGTGTAAGATGAAGAGGCAGGGGCTGATGTCAAAACTGCAGAGTCACCCAAACAATCTAGCTAAGATGTTAATGAAAGTGGCTGCACTAGACAACAAGTTTTCAATGTAGATGAAACAGCCTTGTGTTGGAAGACGTCATCTGGAGCTTTCATAACTAGAAAGCAGAAGCCAACGCATGGCTTCAGGGCCTCAAAGCTTTAAAGGACAGGCTGACTCTCATGTTAGAGGCTAATACAGCCGGTGAAGCCAATGCTGATTTACCATTCTGAAAATACTAGACCTTTAAGAATTACACAAAATCTACTCTGCCTGTACTCTAGAAATGAAACAAGGCCCACCTCTGAGATCTACTTCTCAGAAAAAAGATTCCTTTCATAATATTACTACTCCTGGACAATGTTTCTGGTCACCCAAGAGCTCTGATGGGGAGATGTACAATGAGAATAATATTGTTTTCATGCCTGCTAACCCAGCATCCATCCTGCAGTTCATGGATCAAGGAGTCATTCCAACTTTCAAATCTTATTTTTTATTTTATTTTATTTTATTTATTTATTTGACAGAGAAATCACAAGTAGGCAGAGAGGCAGGCAGAGAGAGGAGGAAGCAGACTCTCCGCGGAGCAGAGAGCCTGATGCGGGGCTCGATCCCAGGACCCTGAGATCATGACCTGAGCTGAAGGCAGAGGCTTTAACCCGCTGAGCCACCCAGGCACCCCTCAAATCTTTTTTTTTTTTTTTTTAAGAAATGTATTTCATGGGGTGCTTGGATGGCTCAGTGGGTTAAGCTTTGGCTCAGGTCATGATCTCAGGATCCTGGAATTGAGCCTTACATCAGGCTCTCTGCTCAGTGGGGAGCCTGCTTCCCAACCCCCTGCCTCTCTGCCTACTTGTGGTCCCTCTCTGTCAGAATAAATAAATAAAATCTTAAGTTTAAAAAAAAAAAGAAAGAAATGTTTTTCATAAGGATATTTCTACCAAACAATTCCTCTGATGGAGCTGGGCAAAATAAATTGAAAACCATCTGGAAAGGATTCACCATTCTAGATGCCATAAGACTATTCGGGATTCATGGGAAGAGGTCAAAATAATAACATTAACAAGAGTTCGGAAAAAGTTGATTCCAACCCTCATGGATGGCCTCGAGGGGTTCAAGAGTTCAGTGGAGAAGTAACTGTAGGCTGGTGGAAACAGCAAGAGAAGGAGCATTAGAAGTGGGGCCTGAGATGTGACTGAATGGCTGTCATCTCACGATCAGCCTTGAAGGGACGAGAAGCTGCTTCTTAGGATGAGCAAAGAAAGTGGTTTCTTTTTTTTTTTTTTTTTAAGATTTTATTTGTATTTGTCATAGAGAGAGAGGGAGAGAGAGCGAGCACAGGCAGACAGAATGTCAGGCAGAGGCAGAGGGAGAAGCAGGCTCCCCGCCGAGTAAGGAGCCCGATGTGGGACTCGATCCCAGGACGCCAGGATCATGACCTGAGCCAAAGGCAGCTGCTCAACCAACTGAGCCACCCAGGCGTCCCAAGAAAGTGGTTTCTTGAGATGGAAACCTCTCCTAGTGAAGATGCTGTGAAGACCGTTGAAATGACAACAAAGGACTTGGAATCTTACATAAATGGAGTTAATAGAGCAGTAGCAGGATTTGAGAAGACTGACTCCAGTTTTGAAACAAGTTCTGCTGTAGCTCAATGCTATCAGATAGAATCGCATGCTAGAGAAATTATTTGTGAAAGGAAAAGTCAATCACTACAGCAAACTTCATTGTTGTCCTCTTTTTTTTTTTTTTAAGTAATTGCTACACCCAAAGTGGGCCTCGAACTTACAACCCCAAGATCGAGAGTTGCATGCTCTTCCGACTGAGCCAGCCAGGCAGGCACTCCTCTCGTCTTATTTTTAAAAATTGCCTCATCTGTCCCAGCCTCCAGCAACCACCACCCTGATCAGTCAGCAGCCATCAGCACTGCAGCATGACCCTCCCATCAGCAAAGAAGGTAATGATTTACTGAAAGCTCAGATGATCATTAGCATTTTTGAGCAATAAAATATTTTTAAATTAAGGCATATTTTTTTAAAGATTTTATTTATTTATTTATTTATTTGAGAGAGAGTGCACAAGTGTGGAGGGGGTTGGGAGAGAGAGCATCTCAAACAGACTTCCTACTGAGCATAGAGCCCTAGCACTGGGCTTGATCCCACAACCCTGAGATCAAGACTCCAGCAGATCAAACGTTTAACTGACTGAGCCACCCAGGGACCTCTAATGTTATATTTCTACTATAAAACTTGACTTAAAAGGACTGGACTCTAAGACTTCAAAGATCCCGGGTTTAAGCAATAAAATTTTTCCAAACTGTTTGATTTCAAATCTCTGCTCTGCCACTTCCTAGCTTTCTGACAATTATTTAAGCTCTCTGTGTTTGGTTTCTTCATTGGTAAAAATGGAGATGGTAATAATAATAATAATAATACCTACCTCACAGAGTTCTTATATGGATTAGAAGAGTATATACATGTAATGCACTGTGCTGAGCACTTACTCACCAGAGTTAACTAGGGTTAGCTATTTTCATTATCATTCACCATGCAGTGCAAAGTCACAACTGTGTCTTTACTGTGTAAAATACCTAGATGAAAAACAAAATACTGTATTTGGAATTATCAAAGATAATTATCAAGATGTTATCTATATACTATATCCAAATATAGTATTACTTAGTATTAAATGATATATTCTAAATATCCAAGAAGTTCAATGAATTTCAAGCCTTCATCAAGATGGATTGTGTCCTATACATTCATTCATTCAATGACCAAAGAGTCCTTGAACATCTACTACGTGCTAGGCATTTTTACAAGTAGAAACAGACAAAAATTACTGCCTTCATGGAGTGTACATTCTAGCAGAAAGCAATAAAGCCAGCTCAGACTAATAAAGTCCATCTGAACTACTTATGTTTTCCTTTATATGACTTATTCTTGGATATTTAAGAGAGATCTTAAAAGTAAGTTCAGGGGCACCTGGGTGCTCAGTGGGTTAAAGCCTCTGCCTTTGGCTCAGGTCATGGTCCCAGGGTCCTGGGATCAAGCCCCGAGTTGGGCTCTCTGCTCACATGAGCTCATTATTTTCCTCGTCTTTTCTCCATTCCTAGCACCCTCTCAAAACAACTATATATGAAAACGAACATAACATCATTATTTGTATTAGTAAATTTGGAAACAACCTAAATATCAACAATAATAAAAATAATAAATAAATGTTGGTATTACTAGAGCTATTTGTATCAACATGGACATACTGTTGAAGGAAAAACACAAATTACAGAACACTTACATGCCATGCATATAGAGTTTTTAAATAAAAGTACAAAGAAACAAGGGAGAATGTTAAACATCAAATTCATTTCCCTGGGTCTAAGGGCAGGGCAGGAGGCAGGGAGAGAAGAATGCAAATGAAGAAGACATATCTATTCTTCATACCATGTTGTATACCTTGAATGTTTAACAATTTATAAAAATGTGAGTTTAGGGGCAACTGAGTGGCTCAGTGGGTTAAGCCTTGGCCTTCGGCTCAGGTCATGATCTCAGGGTCCTGAGATTAAGCCCCTCATCGGGCTCTCTGCTCAGTGGAGAGCCTGCTTCCCTTCTCTCTCTGCCTGTCTCTCTGCCTTCTTGTGGTTTCTCTTTCTGTGTCAAATAAATAAATAAAATCTTAAAAAAAAAAAAAAAAGTGAGTTTAACATGAGTCTACCAAATGGTTTAACCTGTTTTTGGGGAAGGGGGTTCAATTTTTATTAAAAATCCCCAAAAACTCAGGTTTATGCCTGGATGTCTCATACTAAGAAGAAAAAATAATTATCTCATTTGTTTTTTTTTTAATTTAAATTCAATTAGCCAACATATAGTATATCATTAGTTTCAGTTCAATAATTTCAATAATCCATCAGTTGTGTATGACACCCCTGTCTTCATCATATCAGGGGCCCTCCTTAATGCCCATCACCCAGTAACCCCATCCCCCCACCCACCTCTATTGTTTCATTCTTAAAAACTGGACTGACTCTTAGGAAAAAACAGAAAGTGTTACTGTATTCTTGGATAGATGGTTAATGTAAATAACTTCCAGCAACAAACAGGGTATTACTTATCTGTTTCATAGAAACACAGAGTTGAGTCAGACTCTGAGTTGTCTAATGGGTTCAATCACTTTGCCTTTCTAAGTTCCCCTGTTCTAGACACAGCTTCAACAGCATTACAGTAATCCTTATGCCCTAGGAATAGCGACTTGCCATCACCTGCTTCAAGGGAGCACACAGAAGTGTAAGTGGCAATGACGTTAGTGTTTCAGTGTGTGAAAACCTAGTGTGAATTCTCCCCTTTCTCTGCAACAGTTCACAAGGTATCATTATAAAAAGAAGAAGGAAAAAAAACCCTTCTTGCTCTGCTTCTACCAACTTCAGAAACAGTAATCGTTAAAACTGTCTTTTGATCTAGAGTCACTTAAATATTCCTTTAAGGATCTTTTACAGTCACTTTTCTTCACGTTACCTAAATTACAAGTTCTTTTTTTCCATTAAAGACCCTCCCCTCCCCACACCAAATTAACATCAGTGGCAACTGTTGGGCAGGTACTGCCCTCTAGTGCTTACACTTTTATAATAACATTTTAAAACACTGACATCAGTACCACAGACAGTCCATCAAAAATTAAATAACATCCTATTAACCCAAGATTTTTCAACTTCACACTATTGATATTGGGGGCCAATCAGTCTTTGCCCTTGAACTGCTGGATGTTTAGTAGCATCCCTGGCCTCTACCGGCTCAATGCCGCAGCATCTCCCCAACCCCAGCTGTGACAAAATGTCTCCAGACTTGGCCAAATGTCCCCAGCGGAGCAAAATCACCTCTGGTTGAAAAACTGTTGTATCATGCTAAGGGTTGTCCAAAATGTTCACATTACTCCTGAAAATTATAAGCAGAAAAAGTCTTCTTCTGTAGACTAATTAAGTGAGATAAAGGAGAATTTCATTGGTGCGGTAAACAAAACAAAAATGGAGAATTAAGGTTTTCAGGTATCCCGCTCCACTCCCCAAAGTCCTGGCTAGTGGGAATTTCTTCACACCTTTAACTTTGTATTCCAGTTTTGCTTCTCAGATCTTTTCACTTCCTCTCAAAGTGCTTAGAAAACAAAGCTTGCTCTTCTAGCTGAATATAGTGGAGGCTGGTAGGAGAAAGGAGGGGCTGAGATTATGTGTCTGTACTGTTCTAACATAATATGAAACATAATAAATATAATACAAAACTTCTTACAAAATATCAGAAGGAGGGTGCCTGGGTGGCTCAGTTGGTTGAGAGACTGCCTTCGGCTCAGGTCACGATCCCGGAGTCCTGGGATCGAGTTCCACATCGGGCTCCATGGGGATCCATGGGAAGTCTGCTTCTCCCTCTCCCCTCTCATGCTCTCTCTCACTCTCTCTCTCTCAGATAAATAAACAAAATCTTTAAATTAAAAAAAAAATTTAAATATCAAAAGGAATTTCAAACCTGGATTCCAGAAAGTTACATTAAGAGGGTTTATTCAGATCTGCTGTGAATTATTATTCCTCATGTAAGCACATTATGCTTATAGATCCTGGTTCTGTGAATTTTAAAACCTACAAATGACTGAGGACTAGACTTTTTTTTTTTTTTTTTTTTTAGATTTATTTAAGAGAGAGAGAAAGAGCACCTTTGAGAGCAGGGGGAGGCGGAGAGGGAGAAGCAGACAAGAAGACTTCCCACTGAGCAGGGACTCCTACAGGGGTTGGGGTGGAGCTCTCCTGGGGGCTTGAGCCCAGGACTCTGAGATCATGACCTGAGTCAAAATCAAGAGTCTGATGCTCAACCAACTAAGCTACCTAGGCTTGGACTTGCACTGAATGTAACTTCCTCCCCTCATCAAATTTCTCACTGATTTAATTGGTTTTACTAAAGAAAAAAAAAAACAATAAATAAGAATCTATAAGCAAGGGGTGCCTAGGTGGCTCAGTGGGGTAAATAAAGCCTCTGTCTTTGGCTCAGGTCATGATTCCAGGGTCCTGGGATCAGGCTTTCTGCTCAGCAGGGAGCCTGCTTCCCTTTCTCTGCCTACTTGTGATCTGTCAAATAAATAAATAAAATCTTTAAAAAAAAAAAAAGAATCCATAAGCAATTTTTATTATATGATTAAGAATATATCACTTTTTTTTTTTAAGAATATATCACTTTTTGGGGCGCCTGGGTGGCTCAATGGATTAAGCCGCTGCCTTCGGCTCAGGTCATGATCTCAGGGTCTTGAGATCGAGCCCCGAATCGGGCTCTCTGCTCTGCAGGGAGCCTGCTTCCTCCTGACTCTCTGCCTACTTGTGATCTCTCTTTCTCTGTCAAATAAATAAATAAAATCTTAAAAAAAAAAGAATATATCATTTTTATTAATGTATTCCAATCCACTATTTTATTTATTACTTAGTGAAATTGGAAATACTATAGCTCTCCAATTGTCAAGCTCTTATTAGCAGAATCTTGGGATGGAAAATCTATTTTGCCTACACAGAACAGTTTGTGATCATTCCCTAAATCTCCTCTGAGAAGCTTGGGCTTTCCTGACTCTGTATATATTGGTTTCATCCTATCCTAACTAAATTCGATTAGAAGGTCTTCTGGTGGCACCTGGGTAGCTCAGTCGATAAGCATCTGCCTTTAGCTCAGGTCACGATCACAAGGTCCTGGGATGGAGCCCAGCTTCAGGCTCCAGGCTCAGCGGGAAGCCTGCTTCTCCTTCTTCCATTCCCCCTGCTTGTGTTCCCTCTCTGGCTGTGTCTCTCTATGTCAAATAAATAAATAAAATCTTAAAGAAAGAAAGGAAGGAAGAAAGAAAGAAAGTCTTCTAATCATGTAATAAAGCAAGACACAAATAGGTTTTATTTATTTTTTTTAAGATTTTATTATTATTATTTTTGACAGAGACAGAGATCACAAGTAGGCAGAGAGGCAGGCAGAGAGAGAAGAAGAAGCAGGCTCCCTGCTGAGCAGAGAGCCCTATGCGGGGCTCGATCCCAACACCCTGGGATCATGACCTGAGCCGAAGACAGAGGCTTTAACCCACTGAGCCACCCAGGCGCCCCCACAAATAGGTTTTAGCCTTTAAAGGACAGTCAAATGGTTTAGAATATATTTAAAATGATAACAGAAAAGATACATGACTTGCACCAAAGGAAAACAAAATCTAGAATGATATCACTCTGATCAGAGAGAGAGGAGATATATATGTCACCCAGTAATATTATTTGAGAGTTATTTTGCATAACTTTTTTCAGTCATACAAAAGTCCAGGTTATTCTGTAATATGCAGATATTTCAAAGCATTCACAAGTTTTTTAAAAAGCAAATTATTGAAGAGGCACCTGGGTGGCTCAATCAGTTAAGTAGTTAATTGGTTAAACATCTGCTTTCAGCTCAGGTCATGATCCCTGGCTCCCCACTCAAGGTGGGCAGTGAGAGAAGAGTCTGTTTATCTCTCTCCCTCTTCCTCTCTGCCCCCCCAACTTCATGCATGCTCTCTCTCAAATAAGTAAATAAAATCTTTCTTTTTTAAAACATATTAGGGGTGCCTGGGTGGCTCAGTGGGTTAAGGCCTCTGCCTTCGGCTCAGGTCATGATCTCAGGGTCCTGGGATCGAGCTCCGCATCGGGCTCTCTGCTTAGCAAGGAGCCTGCTTTTTTTTTTTTTTTTTAAGATTTTATTTATTTATTTGAGAGAGAGAGTGAGAGAGAGAGAATATGAGAGGGGAGAGGATCAGAGGGAGAAACAGCTCCCCAGTGAGCAGGGAGCCCGATGTGGGACTCGATCCTGGGACTCCAGGATCATGACCTGAGCTGAAAGCAGTTGCTTAACCAACTGAGCCACCCAGGCACTCAAAGATTTTATTTATTTATTAGAGAGAGAGAGAGTGAGAGAGATCATAAGAGGGGAGAAGGTCAGAGGGAGAAGCAGACTCCCCATGAAGGAGCCTGCTTTCCCCTTTCTCTCTGCCTGCCTCTCAGCCTACTTGTGATCTCTGTCTCAAATAAATAAATCTTTAAAAAGCAAATTAAAGAATAAATAATAAAAATAAATTTTTTAAAAAAACAAATTATTCTAGAAATTAGTTTATGTATTCGTTGCTAATCTCACATCACTTTAAATTTCTCCATGAGGGAAATATTTCCTTAGGTTTTGATTTAAAGGAACTGTGGTCATCAGAAGCCCCCAAAAATCCATGTCCCAATCCCCAGAACCTGTGAACATATTACCTTATATGGTAAGTGGGATTTTGCAGGTGTGATTACGATAAGAGTTCTGAGATGGGGAGATTCATCTGGATTATATGGCTGGGCCTAATGCCATCACAAGCGTCCTTAGAAATGAAAGAGGAAGACGGGAAAGTCAGAGGAGAAATGATCACAGAAGCAGAATTCAGAGTGATACAGCAGCTGCCTGTGAAGATGGAGGGACCAGGAGCTTAGCAGTGAGGGCTGGAAAAGACAAGGAAGGGTTAGTCTCCACTAGAGCTTGCAGATAGCAGGAACTGGCCCACAATGTATTCTCAACTCATTTCACTGGTATTTTAATAGTGAAAGCAGCAGCCACTGGGAAGACTCCCTACACAAGCATCCATACACTATTCCTTCTCATGTAGAAGTATTATTTAGACATGCTTTAAGGAATTCTAGTTAAAATCTGCTTCAAATAACCACAATAATGGCATATACTCCCAAAAGAAAACAACTTTCCCTCCTTTGCCAACCCACTAACAGATCTGGAAAGTTACAATTCCAAACATAACACTCATTATTGCTTATGATTTTGTTCCTTGAAACTTTATGAAGAAAATTCTGTACACATCTTTTCCAAAGTACTTATGAGAAACAAGAATATTTAATCCAGATGCTGTTTCCTAAATTGGCCAAAATGTGTTCTTCCCTGATTCAAGATGTAAAAAATGAGTTTAGCTTAGCACTTGCCATTCTTTAAGAAAGTAAGCTTCAGAAATTCTCTTGCTTCATCTCCTCTTGTCCTGTTTCAATATCATCTGGCCCTTCAATTAGAACATGAGTTCACTGCTTCTCAGTGTCCACAGAGTTAATTAATTCAATACAGAACATTCTATTTTCAGCTGGCATAAATATGGACATTAATGTATTCTTTGTACTAAGCAATTTAACCTGAATTGGCAATATATTGATTAAATATGTATAGTAATTTAGGGATTATTTTTTCTTCTTCCTTGAGATAGTAAAATGTCTCTAGATGACCTTGTGTTTTATGTCTAAACAGCAAGTACAATGTGAGTTTAAGGGGAAATACTTCAAGAAAACTAAACTCTAGCCTTTTTTTTTTAAGATTTTATTATCTGTCAGAGAGAGAGAGCAACAGGCAGAGCGAGAAGCAGACTCTCTGCTGAGCAGGGAGCCTGATTAGGACTTCATCCCAGGATTCCGGGATCATGACCTGAGCCGAAAGGAGACGCTTAACCAACTGAGCCACCCAGGCATCCCAAACTCTAGCCATTTTTTTTTTCTTTTTTTTTTTTTTTTAAGATTTTATTTATTTATGAGAGAGAGAGCGCGAGAGCAAGCACAGGCAGAGGCAGAGGGAGAAGCAGGCTCCCCGCAGAGCAAGGAGCCCGATGTGGGACTCGATCCCAGGACGCCGGGATCATGACCTGAGCGGAAGGCAGCTGCTTAACCAACTGAGCCACCCAGGCGTCCCAACTCTAGCCATTTTTAACCTGTACTTGAAATTTTTCCTTTTTTACAGTTCTATAATGGACAACTAATAACTGAGGGGATTATAAAAATCTAAACAAGTACTATAAACAAGGCATTGCTACAAAAGGTAGAAAAGGCAAATTCCTGCACTCTAGGAGTTTTTCCCTTTCATGGTGCTGTAATAGGAATTTAGTAAGAAAGAGATGTAACACTTCCACTTCTATTTGTTTTAACAAATTTTGTAACAGATTTTTATATCAGGTCTACATCTTCATAATATTAAATTTGATAATGATAGTAACAATCCATTAGAAAAGAAGAAAACACATTTACATCGGATTACTTACATTGGATTACTTTAAAATGTTAATACCTTGTTCGCTAATGTATCCCTAGAGTTTGGAACACAGAAATCAAGAAATATGTATTGAACGAATAAATGTCTTGCTCTTTGTTTATTCTTTAGATCAACTGTAGAAAAAATTTTCAGTTGCTGCCCAGAAAATTCCATTGAGAATTTAAATGGAAATTGTATTAATTTTTTAAGTTGATTTAAGATGGCCTGTAATATTTATAAAGTTTACACTTTCCATCCAAAACTTAGCATGCCTCGCCTTTTATTCAGTGGTGAAAAATTAAGGGTGTTTCTATTAAAGGGTGTCGCCAGTGTTTTTTCTCTCTGGTCACAGTTTGAATAGTTTGCATTATATAGATCGAAAACACTCTGTATTAAGAGCCTAACTATAAATTGTATTTGTTGATATGGTGAATGAAATCTTTTTTTGTTACATTTCCTACCTAATTTTTGCCAGAATAGTAGAGTGCTTTTTCCTGAACAACTTTATTAATTCAAATGCTTAGTCTAACATAAAAATTCTATCATCTACTTTCTGTACCACCCCCCAAATTTACATCACTTGTTTACTATCTGACTGCATTAGTCAGAAATTTCAAATCAATTTTAAATTATAGTGCATGACAGACTAAATATACAAACGGACAATGGCCAGACCATATAGAACACAGAACCTTCACCCATAAGCTGCAGCCACCTGCCCAGGAAACCAACCCCTTATCTACAATAAACAACCCAGGAAGTCATCCTGTTACAAGTCAGACTTACAGGAAGCCAGGCTGCTTTCTATAGTGACAATCCAAGAAGCTAAACAATAACTTCTGTAACAATCTGCCCAAAATGGCCATGACTTCATTAATAACTGACAGCTTCCCTAATTTTGGTCCAACTTCTAATGTGGGACCAACAATAGAAAGCAAAGTATGCACCCCTAACCAGGTGCATAGAATGTCCCATTTCTAGTTAGCCTGCCTCCAAGCTTCCCCACGCCAACAGTTTCCAGTTGGGCGGGACATATGTGAAGCCTTCCCTTATCTCTACTATAAAGTTTTCTCAATTTTCTGCCTGCCTTTGAGTAACTGACAGAACTCTGGTGATGGTAGCTGACTCCCTTTATTTATTTACACAGGCAAGAGCCGGGCATCCCTTAATTTTGCTCCTCATTTTAATGGAAATATTAATTATTTTGCCATTAAGAATAGTATTGTTATTTTGATAAAGATGTTATCATGTTGAGTGGCCCTTCTATTTCATTCCTAAACAGTACTTAAAATAGGAGGTTCATTTTTATCAGATAAATTTTCAGCATCTTGTATTTTTCATACTCAAAGTTTTTTTTTTTTTTTAAGATTTTATTTATTTATTTGACAGATCACAAGCAGGCAGAGAGGCAGGCAGAGAGAGAGAAGGGGAACCAGGCTCCCTGCTGAGCAGAGATCCCGATGCCGGGTTCAATCCCAGGACCCTGAGACCATGACCTGAGCGCAGGCAGAGGCTTAACCCACTGAGCCACCCAGGTGCCCCCATACTCAGTTTTAAGATTAGATTTATTATTGAACCATTCTCAAATTTCTGAGATAAGCATTTCTCAGTTATTGAATTATTCTTTCAATATATTGTAGGTAAGACTCATTTTTAGTAGTCAGTGTTGATCTTACTAGTTTTTTTTTCCAATGATAATTTTATTTTCAGATTAGGAGGGCATCTTCTAGGTAACAAAAAAGATAAACCATAACACTAGTAGCCACTTATAATTATAAAGGAATAATAAGCAAATACCTCATCTTCAAGGGTGTAACAAAAATCAAATGTATTCAAAAGTGAAATGAAGGGCGCCTGGGTGGCTCAGTGGTTAAAGCCTCTGCCTTCAGCTCAGGTCATGGTCCCGGGGTCCTGGGATCGAGCCTCACGTGGGGCTCTCTGCTCGGCAGGGAGCCTGCCTCCTCCTCCTCTCTCTCTCTGCCTGCCTCTCTGCCTGCTTGTGATCTGTCAAATAAATAAAAATCTTAAAAAAAAAAAAAAGTGAAATGAAAATAAACCTACTTGCAAATTTCTGCTTTAATCAAATAGAAAACCATTATTTTAAGCATTGCCTTTATTTGAAAATTCTCTACTGTTGAAACGACGTCTCAGAAACAGGAATACTACATACATATAATAATGCTTTCTTTTTAAAAAATAATGCTTTCTTTTAACACTACTCCTATATTAAATGATAGCAAGTTTTAGAGATTAGATTAATATATGTTTAAAATTTAACTTAATGATATGAATATCCTGATGTTAATGATACTCATATTTTCAAATAATTAGACATGTAAAATATAACACACAAGAATATGCTTAAAAGATATCACAAATCACTGGCAAAGGGATAGATTATTCAATAACAAGTAGTGCTGGGATAACTAACAATTTGGGGGTGTGGAAAGACAACAAAGATTGTCCGAAGAATTATCCAGGGGGCTCCCCCAAGTTACCTGCCTGACAATGAGCTAGCTGGCTGGTATCTTGAGGGCCTGATCTCACCTTCCCCCGAAGTACCCAAGTGCTGGGCAGCCAGCATTTCCAGCAGCTCTCTAAAGAACTGTCTGTCACCAAAGCTCCAGCTATCTGACACTCAGATTCAGCTCCACTCTCGAGGCCTCACCCATGTTTGACCACAGTGCTCAAGCCAGCCCACTACTCTCCTGCATGGTGAGCACATGGCCGCCCACTCCTGCGGACTCTTCTATTTATGAATTCCTGCTTAAACCAAATCATGCTTGCTGGGGTATGCCTGAGCCCTCTTGCTTGAGGAGATAACAGGTTTAAACTCTAACCTCACATTATGCACAAAAACTAATTCTAGGCGGTCCATAAGTCAACAAAAATAAATCAAGACATGAAAAGCTAGAATAAAATAGAATTCAACGATTATCAAATCTCTGGAAGATGAGACAAATTTCTAGTCTTCGTAAGAATAAGATGAATCACAAATTAAAAACACTAATTGACTTACTACATAAATACTTTGAACATTCATATAACCAAAATAAAAAGAGGAATAATAGAAGAAATATTTTTATCTAGTATGACAAAGGGTTAAAGTCCCTATTATGTAAACACACTAATACAATTGATTTTTTTTAAATCAAACGGTAAAAGGCCACTTGATAAAGTTATAAACAATTGACAAAGGAACTTGCAACCAGTAATCAAGAAATGCAAATGAAAGCAACAATGAGGGGAGGTTTTTACCTACTTCTCCTACCTTTCTGACAGCTCCTTCTTAGTCTCTTTTGCTCTTCATCTCCCCAACTTCAGTATGTTGAACCCCAGAAATTCCACACTTGGATTTCTCTTTTTTCTATCTCCACTCATTCCCTAATGATCTCACCCAGTCTCATGGCTTTAAATAGCATCTACTTGTCAATGAGTCCCAAAATTTAGATCTCCAACTCGGACTGGAATATTCAGCTGCCTACCTGCCATTTCCTCATGGATTTTTAACAGATGACTCAAACTTAATGAAAATGTGTCTCAGTCTGAACTACTGATACTACCTCTCACCCTCCAAGCCCGTTCTCCCGCAGCCTTCCCCTTCTCAGGGAATGGCAATCCCATTCTTCCTGTT